TCGACCTCTACTAATCATGATGTGTTGTTTTATAAACACATGTGTTCTTGTTCCTGTTATTTAGCTAACTTATTATGTGATGCGCACAACATACAAGTATAAACTCAATCACGCGAATTTGAACAAAACAACTCATGTTTGTTTTCGAAAATGGTTTGAAAGTGCTACTCGCAAGAAGGCTAAAGCGCAGATTTGCCACCCTCAAGTGGGCTTAGAAAAATATAATTTTGCCACTTCGCAAAGTGGGCTTAAAACTCACAATCATGAAGTTATCCCAATTCAGGTAATTAAGCCTTCACCCACAGGCATTCAAGCAATTTATCACTTAAGCAAATAGCCTCATGGCAAGCATGCTATCATGGCAACACTAACACTCATACAAGTATGCTAAAGCGTAAACACTCACAGTGTACTCCGAGCCAAAACAGAAACTAGTTAGAAATCATGTATGATCCTAACTATACAAGATGCCTAATGCAACACATGCAAAAGCGCAATTAAATAGGCTCGGCTATCTAAGATGGCATATGAAATGCAACAATTGATACATGTATTCAAATAGGTATTGAAATACGATGCAGTTTGTATGATGCACCGAGCTCGGTGTATGCAAGACAAATGAATGATGCAAACATGCAACGCATAAGGTATGCTAATCGAAAAATGCCCTAAAACTAACCATCAAAAGCGGTTAAGTAAAAGGGAGAAAGACGTGGGGTTGGAAGACATGAATAGTGGCTACCGGCCATCGGCCACCCAAGAGTGAGCCTCTGCCGGCTAAAAATGAAAGGGTGCCGGCCATCAGTGTGCCACTGCTGGCCACTGGTGTGCTGTGACACCAAACTGCAACAGAGCACAAAACAGAGGAAAATGGAGGGTCTCCCAAGAACATGTATGTACTATGCCACTCCATATCATCTCAAAACATCAAGGAAGAGGCATCATTGGATCCAAGACCATCAACCAAGCATACAATGCATGATGGCCAAAGATCCAATTTGCACAAATTCAATAAATGCAAGACAAACAAGACTCTAGAACCACTAACTTATCATGGAAGGTCAAAGGCAATGGAGACAAAGGGAATTGGCTCATTTTTATCACTTTGAGTATGAAATGGACCAATCTTCCTTGTGTTCAATATAATGTCCGATTGAACACAATGCAATGCAAATGCAACATGCTTATCTTGGTATGTTTTACTTGATTCATTCTTGTTTACACATTTTAAGTTACCAAGCCATTCTTTAATTGAGTTGTCCAAATGTGGAAGTCCTCTAATGAGAGGAAGGTCAATCAAAAGATGACTTAAGACATGTGAGGAACCATGCCTTTGACTAGGAGGAACCCTCAAAGGAGGGTTAAAGCCATTTAAGCATAAGCCTCAATCCCATGACTTAACCACAACCTCAAGACCAACCAAGCCTCAAAACAAATCAAAAGATGAAGAAGTGAGAGAGATGGCAGAATTTCAATGCTGAAATGGCATGAAAAATAAGACTCTAACATGCAAACAACTCATGTACAACATGTTAAGAGACTTAAGCACTAAATCTAGTGAAGAGCACAACACTAGGACCATGCAATACAATGCTCAAATGGCCAAACCAATCGTGGACAGACCTTGAACATGCCAAAGCAGTGGCCAAAATGTACTGAGATGGTAGCATGAAAGGCAAGAAAAACATGTTCATGCATTGGCTCACAAACAAGACATAAGGCATAACTCTCAAAAGCGATGAAAGAGTGGAATATGTGAGAGTGTGACAAAGTTATATGCTCTGAAATTACATACAAAATGATGCTATGGCATGCAAACAACCCTAGCAAAGCATGCTAGAAGCCTCAAAACACAAAGCTAGTCAAGGTCATTTACACTATAGCTATACAAAGCGGAGCACATGTGACCAAGACCACTTGAAACAAAGTTAAAGCATGCTAAAGCAAGGCCAAAAACATGTTGGAGTGGAGCCAACACATGCTAGAATAATAGGCTCAACCATCAAGTACACTAGGCTAGTGAGCAAGATTGCACTACAAGTGTAAGAAGCAAACAACAAGTGACTAAACCAGCCAAAAACATAGTTTAAACATGTTAAAATATAGAAAAAAACATGCTTGAACTAAGCTAACATAAGCTATAAAAACATGCTACTTTGTAATGCTAACAAGGCATGGCATAGAGAGACAAGGAGGGAAGGCCATCCCCTCCCATTTTGGGCCTCAAAACAAGCTTTCCACCATTGAAATTCCTCTAGAATTCAGTGGTTTTAAGGTCAAAAAGAGATTGTTTGAAAAGTTTGAAAGATAGCTCAAAAGGCTTTATAAGCTAAAGAGCAAAAGGGAGGAAACACCCCCTAACCAAACAAGGCTTAAACCACCATTTTTTGGATTGAAAAAACAGAGGTTTTGGTAGTTCAAAACCAGGCCAAAAACAGTTTGCAAAGGTGGCAAAACAAGTGTGCAAAAATAAGCTCAAAAGAGGTAAGAGGTTACCTTTGAAGCACAGCAGCAAAAACAGCCCCAATTCTGAGTTAAAACCACCTTTTGGAGCTCAAACAAAGTCCCAAGCTACCTTAACCCAAAGATGATCAACTTTGGTTAAGGAAGTGTATGCAAATATGTAGGGAATTCTCACTTTCAAGCCTAAAACAAGAGGAGAGAGAGAGAATTCTAGAGCGAGGGAAGAATTTGCTCACAAATCTTCTAGAGAGAGAGGATTTTTAGAGAGAGAGGCTCCCAAAATTGCTAACCTCCTCAAATGAGTGATATAGCCTCCATATATAGCAAAATACAAGCCTCAGCTCGAAACATCTGAATTGGGACACCTGGAGGAGTGTGAAAACAGCTGGAGGAGAAATATCTACAAAATATTTGAGCTTTGGACACAAGTGGCCGGTAGGCTACCTAAACTGGCCGGCCGGCCACCCCTGTTGCCGACAGCAAAAATCTGCTCTACATGTCAAATTTCAAACGGGGATATCTCGTTCATATAGACTCCTTTTCAGGTCATTCTTGTATCCAAATTGAAGCCTCGGAAGTAAGCTTTCCAATGGTAACACTCTCACATCAAAATTCCAACTGTGCTGAGAGATATCCCTATTTTAGTGAAGACTGCTCAGTTTTGGTCCTCTCGGATTCATACCTAACTGCTCCTCAGCTAGTTTTCCTCTCTCCTCTCCTCTTTTCTTCAACTGCAAACCTCTAACTAAGGTGTTTTGAAAGATTTTTCAATGAGCTCACCTCTCTTTCAGTCATTTCCACTTTGTCCTTGCTCAGTTTACTGAAAAGCGCAACATTTAACAAAATGCGAGCCTCGAAACATCGTAAGAACTTTTTTTCAAAAACGTTTTGAAAGAGAGGGTTTTAAGGTCTAAAATCTTTTCGTCAAAATCATTTTGGTCCAAAAAATGGGGTGTGAGGTTGGATTTGACGCTCCTCTTGCTGAAGAAATCGAATCTTTGCACTGCACACCTTTCATCACCAAGTAAACCATCAGTAGCGCCCAAGTCTTAAGGGTGGTCAAAAATGAGGTGTCTACAGCCACATAAACAACAACTTTGGGTGGACATAAGAAACTTGCAGAATTTTCCATCTTTTCATAAACCTGTCCGGAGTTGAAAAGTGGATTAGGATTTGGTCGGCCGGCCATAAAATGTATTCGGCAAAATAGCAGTTGGTCGTTGGGTCTAGCTTCAGCTAGAGCAGAGAAAAGGATATGTCATGGACCTCAGAATGACAATATGTTCAGATATGTTCCTAGATGTGCATTCGGGCATATGTTCAGATGTGTATTTAGATATGGAACAAGTTGAAAAGCAAAAATTGTCCATTTGCAAAAAGTTGTATATATATATGGGCCACAACACCAGATTTGGTTACAAGCCAAGTGATTATAGAAGTTTTGTTACCATTAGATGATTACATTATGACCCAACGAGCTATACAAAGGAATGTGGAAAAAAAAATTAAAAAATTAAAAAAAATGACAAAAAGTGTAACTAGTTAAAACATGGGCTAAGAAACCAGTGCGACCATCTTAAGAGGTAATGGAATGCGAACTCCACCAGGCCCGTCATCATCACCACTAGCATCCACTACAACAAAATTGAGTTTTTACAACTCCACATTAACGACATACAGTAAATGCAAGCCGTGGTTTCTCACTTTTACGACTTACTTTTTTTGCATGTCGTAAATAATTTCCCAACCACGGCATGTCTGCGTAGGCCGTGAATGCTAATAATGATGAATTTTTACGGCTTGCAATGTTTGCCATAAATAATAAAACTTTCTATGACATGCATATGGCACGTCGTTAATACATCAACTATACACGACACACATACACCAGCCGTAAAAAGTATTACACTTTTCATAGCGCGCACAATGCTCGCCATTAAAAGTATTGCACTTTTTACGAGCGCACATCGCCTGCCTTAAAAAGTATTGTCTTTTCGTGACGCACAATGCATGTCGTGAATTGTATATTCAAAAAACAAAAAAAAAAGGCGCCAAAATGAAATTTTCTAGCACCAAGTCAACAAAAAAAATAATAAAAAATGAAAAAATATATATATATATATGTTAGAAACTTTTTCTCTCATACACTACTCTCTCTTTCTCAGTGTCATCTGCCTCTCCTGTAGCCCTTCCTTTTCGTCTCTCTCCTCTTGCGACCACCGCCATCGGAACGTTGCCGACCACTAACCACCTCTCCTCTTGCCGTCATCCTCTCTCGACGAAACTACCGACCACCTTACCTCTCTTCTCACCTCCTCTTTTTTTTTTAATTTATTTATAATAATCGTGTATTTGTATAGCTGTGTAAAAATCCTAGATCGTCTCTCTGTCTTCTTCAATTCAACCTCGAGTCTGATTTTGATTCGATTGGTGTTTTGATCTTTTAGATTAGATAGAGAATAGACACAAATAGAGAGAGAGAGAGAGAGAGAGAGAGAGTTGTGCGGTGTGCGTAGAGACCCTGGAATGGGTAACCTATGGAGCGTGTGGTCACCGGGAGGTGTGCTCGACCTGCATTGCTTGACTTCGCTTCATATGCAATGATCGTCGTTGCTGCATCTGCAAGACCGAATCCAACGTTATCTTTGTCACCAAGGTTCCCTCATAGATTTTTTTTCATGATTTATTATTATTATTTATTTACTCTTTCCAATTTATACAACTTATTAAAATAGTGCATATTATCAAAGTAATTTGTTTAATTGTTTTGGTCTAATTCTAATTTTTATGTCTCAGTCTCTATAATCCCTATATCTTTCTCTCAGCTCCAAAATTCTCTTCGTCTCATCGCCTATTTTGTATTGAGAGATTGGGAAATTTTTCCAATATGTTGTTGAGTTTTTTTATTATTTTTTATTTTTTTGATAAACTGGTATAGCAGTATCTTGATAAGTGAATCTATCATTCACTGATGATAATCCGGTGCATCCTGATATTCATGATTCCTCTGGACCATTTACCATGATAATCTGGTACTACATTAAATGTCAATCATTAGATTGAATGGGTTATTATCTCTTAATCTATACCTGCTCTGTCCTGGTCTGATACATTTCATCTTTTTCCTTTTTGTTTCTTAATCTCTCATTTGTCCTCACTCTGTCATGATTGATTATTTACTACAAACATCTATTTGGTTTTCATTCTCTCTTTTCTCATTTTGTAATCTAGGTTTAATAATGAGCTTAAGGGGAATCTATTTCTTCCTGGCTATTTCTGTTGGTGATGTGTATCGGATCTCTTTTAACCTCCCATCTGTAGCTTTATTCCTTGAAAACCTATTTTTATTGTTTTGGATGCATTAATTTTTGTCAAAGAATCTCAAGTTAGTCCACAAAAGTCTCTTTTTGGTACTTTCAGTTAGTTTATAAAAGCCTCTTTTGCTTGTTGTGCGACTGGTGCCCTTTTCCTTCAGTCTTCTCTTCTTAGAAAACCAAAATTGGATTGTTTAGTCATTCCAACAGTGAGCTAATATCACCAGACTAAGTCAGGTATCCTCCTTTATGTCAACAGTGAGCAAATCAACAGTGTCTATCATTACAGATGTGATGATGCTCCTCAAGATCACATTTTCTCCATTTAGGCCTTACATGTCCGTTGTTTGATATATATGCAATTAGACCATTTTCTGGGAAGTAGTTGTGCATATATGCAATTGGAAACCCAATTTTGTTGTGTTTATCCCTTTTGTTATCAATATTGTCTTATTATCTCATCTTCTCACTCTCACTCTGCATTGCAATTGTATTGTTGTAATTTTCTGCTTTTCATGTAATACTTGGCTTACTTGCTAGTATACGAGCAGTTCTAACATAAAAGTTTGCTTACATGAAGAAAAAATTATTTGGATTTCTAACATAAAAGTTTGCCTAGATCAATAAAAAAATATTTGGATTTCCATAAGCTTTAATCTGCCTTTACAGTTCATTATTTGATGCAATTACTAGCATGAGAAAAAATGTCTATTGTTTCAAATGCATTAATGCTTTTCAAAGCATCTAAAGTTGGTCCATAATAGTCTCTTTTTGGTACTTCCTTTAACTTTATATAAGGCTTCTTTTGTATTGCTGAGTGGCTGGTTTAGATTGCTAACTGAGGATTTATTTTTCTTTTCCAAGAATCAATTGAATGTTCTTTTCGATGTTGCTAGTATTTTGTCTTTTCTTGGCATGATTTTCATGATTTATTATGTTATATGTGTGTGCAATTTTAAGGCAGAAATTCGAAAGTATAACCAAGAATTTACTATTTCTTTCTTGATGTAAGTTATATATTAACGTTGTTGATTTTCCCTTTTGAGTACCTAACCTCTCCACTAGGAAAAGAACATAAAGATCTAGTTTCTTTTTTTCATTTTTCTTTTTTGTTTTTTTGGTTTCCTCATTTTTATTTGCTTGGAAAGAACACACGATTATGTTTCCATGGTTGGTTAGATCTAATTAAAATCTGCCTATGTTCTACCAATTATTTGGGGAAATCTGCTGTGTATGGCAATGCAGACAAGGGAGCAACATATCCGGAGAGACAAGGCCACCAACAATATTTGCACTACTCAGGTAGGATATGGAGGTGGTTAGAGTTGCAAGAGTTGCAATATAAATAGAAGGAAAATGTGTCTGCCTTCATTTATCAATTTAAGTGTTCTAAATGATACCTTTTGCCCAAATGGATTATGACAATGACAGGTATGATTTTCCCTTTTCTATTCATCTTTCGAATGTGATTTATAGGCTGCGTTGGATATGTTTCTTTTTGTGGCTTCTGGATTTCTTTTACTTTGTAGCAGTTATATGGGAAATTTAGTATGAGGCTGCGTATTTTGAACAATTTGACAATGTAATTGTTAAATCTATTGGTTGAATGAAGTATTGCGCTAAATATGATCTCAAAATTAATAATGAGGTTGTGTATTTAATGTTGCTATTTTAATTGGTGGCTGCTGCTGTTAGATATACTTTTACATGGGATTATTGCCTATTGTTTGCTTATGGGATTACTGCTTGTCTTTGCTATTGAATTTGGAGTTGCTGCTTTCTTTTTCTTTCCTTTTTTTTCTGTTTTTTTTTTTTGGGTATTGAACGTTTGGAAATATATTGGTTTTAGTTTTAAATTCTAATTTAATTTCTCACCATGTTTTTGACAGTTATCATGTGCTTGAATAAAATTCACATCGAAAGGTTTGAAGAATATTGGATATTATACTTTTAACCTATCATCTACGGTAGATTTGAGTAATGATGGTGATCTGTTTGGCATTGGAGGGTGTCTTCACTTTAAATCACCGGATTGGTTGATACATTCATTTACTATTCTTATAACTGCTACACTTTATGGTGAAAGACACCACCCTCTCTCTATATTTGATGTGCCTGTTTAGAATTTATTTAGTACTATTGGATTAATATTTTATTTTATTTAGTAGATTGCGATGCAAAAATGATATCGTACTGCAAATAGAGAAGCATGACTTTGTGTGTAGCCATCATGGTAACTGTAAGGATAGTAGTCATAGGTCCTTGATGGTCGATGTGGTTCTAGATATGATGGGTGTGTCAATAGTGAAGTGCCTGTGGTAGTATGGGATACAGTGGTAATAATGATGTGATGTGTTGTATTGCAAATGACATCAATAGATGTGTCATGGTGATCCTAGTAATGGTAGTTTTGATATAGATTGACATGTATGGCTATTTCATAACCTCTGTGGTGGTGATCAACCATTTTAGGTGCTGGCAGTGGTGTTGGGCCATCGATGGTTATGAGGAAAAAATCAAGGTTAGACCACTGATGGTGGTGGTAATAGAACTATTTGTTTCAACTAAATGCAAATTTTTGTATTTTTGCTTCCAAAAAATTTAGCTCTTAATTCCAATGCCATTTATTTATTTATTTATTTTGTATTTTTGTTTCCAAAAAATGTATTGTTTTTTTAAAAAGCTATCCAAATACTATACTAAAGGGCCTTTGTGGTCTCAAAAGTAGATATATAATTTTGATCATTTGCAATTATGTTCTTGTTTAGACATTTGCTTGTGCATTTGTGTATGCTCTATAATTATGGAGGATGAAATTGGCTGGGAATATGATGAATGCATTTTCCGAAGGACTCATATTAGCTGACAAAAGTGGACTTAACCCTGAAACTCTTCTTGACATGTTGGTAAGACAAAAACTAAAATCTTTTTATTCAAATTTCTATTAATTTTGAGTCGACTCTTGATGTCTTGCCTGCTTTCTGGTAGGACCTGGGTGCAATAGCTAATCCAATGTTTAAGATGAAAGGATCCACTATGAACCAAAAGAGCTACTTCCCTGCATTTCCTCTGAAACATCAGCAGAAGGACATGAGGTTGGCTCTTGCCCTCGGTGATCAAAATGCAATATCAATGCCAGTGGCAGCTGTTGCCAATGAGGTAAGGCCATTTGTTTGCTTCTCTATTACCTTTATCTGAACGTAATGCTCACTGTGAGCAGCATGTGTTTAATGGTCTTAACAATGAGCTGAATAGACAACTGAAGATATGTTATTATCTATCCTTATAGTTTAGCCAGAAAAGTTCATTAGTGTAGAACTAGTAAATGAGAACCACTCTAGGGTTTCATATTTATCTCTTAATCAATATTCATTCAATTAAAGGTAATTTTCTTCTTTACTTAATCCCATATATTCCATAACCAAATAAGGAAAATGAGGAAAAAAACAAGAAATAAATAAAATTAGAAACAATTCCTATAAATTCTAAGTTGTCAATTGGTGCCTCTTGTACCTAAAACATGTCTTCATTCATAGCTTTTTACTGTTCTCTCTCTCTCTCTCTCTCTCTCTCTAGATGTTAGTTTGATTGTGAAAGAAAATACACATTATCTTATAGGAGCACCAAGGAAAGCACCCCTTGCAGTTTGATAAGAGATCCAGAGAGCATAAGAACCCCTGGTTCTACTACTAGGCCTACTTGTTCAATTGAGGCCAACAGGAGAGTGCAGAATACCTTGATGATTTTATAGGCATGTCAGCCTAGAGCTTAGGAATTTAGATTTTGTGGTTCTCTTATTTCCTTTTGTTATTGTTGAAAGCAGTTGTGTTAGTCTGTTGCATTACCTTACTATTGTATCGTTAGTCTCACAAATGTTAGGCTCAGCGGTCTTTTCTTTGGATATGGATCTTTGTTATAAATATGGATAATGTTGCCCTGGCCTTCTACGGTAGCTACCTTGTAATTATTTGTTAGAATTAATGGAGATGCCAGACATTTTTTTTATTGATTTTCTCGTCTGCTGAACTGTTAGAAATGTGGTGTTCAAAGTGTTACCCTATATATATTTTGAATCTTATGCAGGGACTCAACTCGGAACTTATATGTTGTCTTGGGAGCTTTTTATGCTTCATGCTTGTTTGTTGGAGTCAATAATGCTTCCTCAGTACAACCAATAGTTTTAATTGTGAGAGTTGTATTCTACAGAGAGAGAGAGAGAGAGAGCAGCTAGAATGTACTCCCCATTTCCTTATGTTGTTGCCCAGGTCGATGTCTTGATATTGAAGCTTTGTTTAATTTGATTCGAAACATGACCCTCAATAGAAATATGTTTAAATTGTTTGGATTGGTTGCATATCACTATCATTGAAAGTGGCATGTTGAACTACTTAGCCTAAATAGAAATGAAAATGGTAACAGATATGACGGAATCGCAGAGACCATTATGTTTATTTTCCTTATTTTTCAGCTGTTTTATTTTTCATTTTCCATTTCTTATATGAGAGATTTCTTCAAGTGATTGCTATATCTAAAATGAGTGGAAATCATTTATGTTAAAACATTATTTTATACTGATACTTCGAAATAGATAATTTCTAGTGTAGAGTTCTGCCACAAGAATATGGTGGTTCACAAAGATCTTAAGCTTGAGAACCTGCTTTTGGATTCCAAGTGCAATGTGAAGGTTGCTGATTTTGGTCAGTAATATCATGCGGGATGGTCATTTTTCTGAAAACAAGTTGTGGAAGCCCAAATTATGCTGCCCCAGAGGTGTGGTATCTATGGAATATAATTTAAGACAGTGAAACAAGTCAGTGAGATTTTTCAATTGAACGTTATTTGTATTTAAAGTAATTGTTGAATGTCCAAGGTTAATAAATTCATCTATTTTCATAGGTTATATCTGGGAAATTGTATGCTGGACCTGAGGTAGATGTATGGGGCTCTGTGGAGTTATCTTGTATGCGTTTTTTTGGGCATTCCCGTCCCTATGATTGGAGCAAGTGGATTTGCTACAGCTGCAGATGCAATTGCTATATGAACTGTTGTCGATAGCTTTAGGTAATCTCTTAATAGTTGTCGATATGTTTAGAAAGTTAGATATTCATAGTTTTGGATGGTTTAAACTTTTTGTACAGTTTAGAACTTAAGGATATAGTTTTCGAATGTTTGGAATGTATAGACAATTGTTGAATGTTTATAATTTATGGATATAGTTTCTTTTTGATGTTTCAAACAATATTTTGGTGGTTGATTGATGTTTTGTGATACTTGTTTGTAATATTTGTTAGATTGTACAAAATTGGTCAAATAGAACCAGTTGAATTTAAAAATAAAATAAAATAAAAAAAATTGCATATTTTACAGCAGGCATAATAAGTCATTGTATTATATATTTTACCGTGCGCAATCAGTGTCATTATTTGTCTCACCAATTAACGGCATGCAAAAGTAGTCATAGAAAAAGTAACAGCGATGCACAAAATCTGTCGTTAAGTAGTTTTTAACGGCTTACTATAGCATGTCGTAGAAAAAGTAACAACGACGCACAAAATCTGTCGTTAAATAGTTTTTAACGGCTTACTATAGCATGTCGTAGAAAAAGTAACAACGACGTACAAAATCTGCCGTTAAATAGTTTTTAACGGCGTACAAAGCATGTCGTTGAAAGTGAATGACTTTCCATGACTGGTCATAATATGACGTGCACTGCACGTCGTAGAAGGGTTTTTACAACGTGCATTGTGCGTCGTAAAAACCCTTTTTTGTTGTAGTGATCACTGCCAAAGTTGCTACTACCAGGAGAAGGGTCGTCAAAGTACCTATCCAGCTCGTTATCCTCCTCGTCATCATCGCTGCTAATGATGATCACATTAGGAGAAGCAACTTCTTCCTAAAAAAGAAGAAGAATAAATTGGATAATGGGAGGGTTGTATATGACCATTCAGAAGAAAAGATCAATTTCAAGTAGTTAACGCCAGGTGGAAATCTGAAAAGTGTGGAGGAAATGGACCTGGAGGTAAGGGACTTCGTCCACATCTGCATCCTTCTCAGTGTCCCATGCCTCATCTCTCTCTAGGAGCTTGGCCCAGACTATAGTATTGCCGTCTACCATGGGCCAACGTTCAAATAGGCTCATCATCTAACAAATGTCCATAGCCCTAACCCCAGCCCCGGCCACCACCATAGGGTAGCCCCAAGCTGTGTAAGTGCCTCAGCTACAGTATTGCCGGAAGAGCTCCCACTATCCTCCAAGGTCTCAAGTTCATCAAAACCAATGGGTTAGTTGGGAGAAAATGAGAGGAAATCATCATCAGCCATAGGTAGTGAATGGAAATGAGTTCAGAGAGCTGGAGAGATGTTTTCAGACAAAAATGAATGGAAGATAGATGGTTGTGCCTTTTTATAAACTTCCAAAAATGTGAAAGGTCAGTTCTGTCCTTGGAATTACCCATTAGGACCGGCTGGCTACATTTGAATTCGACCGGTCAATTTTTGAGCCGCCAAAGCATTATCAGTAGTATGTTGGAATAAAGGTGTTCAGAAGTGTGCAATAGTTATCTAGTGGTGTATGGTTATTATCCCTATCACATTTTGACGTACAGTTGTTCAGTGGCACTAGCAAAGAGGAGGGTTTGTCCTTACTGTGTCGTGTTTTTCCTACATTTGCCTTAGTGGCATGATGTTTCTATTGTTTCAATCACCACCTACACATGCAAAATGTGTAAAGTGTGAAACCTTGATTAATACCGTCCCTTGCGTGGGTTGGCGATTAATACCACCTCAGTTAATACCACCCTCTGCGTGGGTTGGCGATTAATACCATCTTGGTTAATATCGCCCCTTGTGTGGGTTAACAATTAATACCATATCAATTAATACTGTCCCCCACGTGGGTTAGCAGTTAATACCAACTCGGTTAATATCGCCCCCTACGTGGGTTAGCATATAACACCACCTCGGTTAACACTGCCCCCTGCGTGCGTTGGCGGTTAACACCACCTCAGTTAACACCGTCCCCTATGTGGGTTGGCAGTTAACACCACCTCAGTTAATAGTGCCCCCTGTATGGGTTGGCAATTAACACCACATCGGTAAATACCAACAGTTAACACTAACTCAATTAATACCGCCCCTTGTGTGGGTTAGCATTTAACACCACCTCGGTGAATACTACCCCCTACGTGGGTTGGCGGTTAACACCACCCTCAGTTAATACCGCCTCATGCACATGTTGGTAGTTAACACCACTCATTTTCTCTCTTCTCATTGTAGTTTGTTTGGAGTATGTTGTAGAGTTCCTTGTTGCTATGACTGCCAATCATATAGGACTTTCGCTATGGCCATCCTTTTCTCTTTCTCTCCTATGTCGCAGCACATGTGCATTTTGCATTTCTTTTATTCATGTAAAGCATGCTTGTATATTTTGTGTGTTGTTCTTTATACTTTCCACAATTGTTAGCTTGCTTTATGTTATTTACATGAGGTTCTCCTCTTTGTTTTGCCATCTTTGCAACTTTATCTTTGTTCCACCTCGTCTCCTTTTACAGTGCTTGCATCATAAAGCTTTCCAACACTCCAGCAGTGTGGTATACGTAAGCATAATTCTCAAATCATGACAGCGCGTAAGCCCAACTTTTCAAGTATATTTTGAGCATGGCATTTGCATTCTGCCCCTGAAATACGTTGGTTTGATTCCTTTGATGGGGATACATATGTAACCCTCGAGTTCAACTAAATTTTATCTGCATATTGTTTATTTTCCCAAGTCTTACAGCCTCGTCATAAGAGTCGTCTTCGAGCTTCGACATTCACTCACATCATGAAATGACACATCTAGCTTTATTAAAGAGGAGCAACTATAGACACACCATTTTTGACCAGTTTTAAGACTTGGGCGCTCTCTCTTGGGTACCCAATGATGAAAACGAGATGTGCTAGTCCTATGAAGTCCTTGGCCAAAAGTTTGAAGTTTGAGCTTCTAAACCAAACAAGCACCTGTTTTAACCAAAGTACCTTTTGAATAGTGGAAAAACCTTTTTCAAAATGGATTTAGTTGTGCAGTTTCAAACGTTGTCAATATGTCTTAAGGCTCATATTTTCAAAATCAAAGTGTTGTATTCTTTCAAACAAACAGAGCAATGGATGTAGTAGAAATAAATGGAAATGGTGAAATGTTTTGAAATACTTATTTCTCCTCTCAGTTCAAGCATACCTTACTTTGTTGATCTAATGATATGCTTTCTAACTGGATGGACAACATTTGACGGCCGATCAAAAATGCATTAGGCCGATCACCAAGTGGGACAGCCAGCTGAATGTTTCGGGTACAGAGCATTTTCGGGGATTTCATCTTATTCAACACACTTTACGTAAATATCTTCAATATTTACACCCATGCTCTATAAATAGAGCTCAACAGGCTCTTTCTAAGGGTTGGAAAATCTTGCCCAATGCTTATACAAGCCATTGGTTTTCCCTATCTCCCTCCTTCATTCCTTACCTAACACATTCAATTTCTAACATTAAAAACTCCATTAAAGCTTGATCATAAGCTCCTGGACTGAAATTGGACATTAAACAACATATCTAAAAGTTCTTGAGGGAACCAAAAGAGAGTTTGTGGAACAAAGGCACTCACCCTCTTTAAGAGGTGAATTTTTGCATCTTTAATCACTTTTCTCCTACTCTTTCTTCAGTTCAAACTTTATTTTCATCATATAATTATTGTAAGTCCTCATGGATGTGGGGGGGAATAGGATTTAGCCACCCATCAATTGAGTTGATAGTTTTTTCTTCTTTTCCTTCTTGTTCTTTTAGGATTAGTTTCATTGCTGTTATGTATTTGGATCCTTATAGATGTGTTTGGGATCAGCAATTAGCCATCCATTCACAAGTTTAATATATAGAATAGCTTTTCTTTTCTTATTTCACACTTATTCGTCACCTATTCTATCCCTTAAGTATATTAATTTATTTTTTTCAACCTATGCTCAAGGCTAATGAGTAAGAGGGTTGTCTCACAAGATTACTTAGGGGATTCTAAAGGTTTGATGTTGAAAGAGTTGTGTTATCCCTTCTTGTTAATTATTTTTGGAAGTAAAGTAAAAGATTTTGGGTCAAAGGGTGTTGAAATCTTCCTTCTCAATCATTTATAAATAGAAAATGATGGAAACAACGTCATTTTATGAATAGAAGAGGAGGCTTCAAGGGCTTTGATGAATCCCTTGTTTTGAAAGCAATACTTTCACCAAGAAATGATTTGCATTAATCTACTCTCTCTAATTAATAGTATGGATTTGGGTATTAACTTACCCTTATTCACAAAGAGATGATGTAGGTTCCTATCTATTTCTTGGTCTTTAAGATTGTTCTTGTTTTAATCCCTTTGAATTGTTGATTTTATTGCAAGATATCCATTGTGCATATCTATTCATGTCATTGTTGAGGGTTGTAGCCCATCTACCTCCCCCTTAAGTGATCCTTGTAGGTGGTAGAGGTAGAAAAAATGAACACCCCCTAGAAATTGTCCATTGCTTCTATTTTGGAAAATCTGCACTAATGTAGATTCTGCCCAGAAGAAGAGTTCGGCCGGTCTTTTTTCTATTCGTCCTGTCACTATTGTGCATAGCCGACTAACTTATCCAAGAATAGAGCAAACAACTTCTAAGGGGTGGTCTCCTAGGTAATCTTAGAGCTGATGGC